CAAATTAAAAAAAACAATCATAGAAAATAGTGTATTGCCAAAATATATGTTGCTCTGAGGTGGTTCATCTCTGGAGTTGGTCACCGATCCAGTCCTTGAGGATGCTGAGCAGTCCTGTAAATTGCTAAACACATTAAACATTGATTTCCACAGGCACCAAAAATTTTCAAAACACAGTACTTTCCTGGATTATATGTGAATGAGAGGTTACTGGATCAGAAGAATCAGCCTCAGGGCATCATATACATTATTATAAAACATTAAAAGAATAAGGAAAGTAACAAAATAAAGAGATGACATTTAATTTCCAGAATTTAATAATGAAAAGGGATACATAACTAGAAAGTCCAACCCACTCTTTTGAAAAAAATGGGTCAGATACAAACATGTTCTATACTAGAAGAAGTTGCTGGCCTTTGGAGTTAGTCTAAATGTACACAGCTGGGCTATCAGAATGATGCTGAGTTGTTTCCACAGCATGAGGCAATTATATATGTAAAACTATAAGAATGTTTAGTTCATCTTGAGTACATTATTTTAGGTATTCACATTCTTTGAAGTCATCTTTTACATTAATCAATTCAGAACACAGAATGATAGAATGGTTTGGGTTGGAAGGGACCTTCAAGATCATCCAGTTCCAACCCCCCTGCCATGGGCAGGGACACCTCCCATCAGCCCAGCTTGCTCCAAGCCCCATCCAGCCCAGCCTTGAACACCTCCAAGGATGGGGCATCCACAGCTTCTCTGGGCAACCTGTGCCAGTATCTCACCATCTTCAGAGTAAAGGATTTCTTCCTATTATCTAATCTAAATTTACCCTCTTTCAGTTTAAAGCCATTACCCCTCGTCCTATCACTACACTCCCTGGCTGTACTCATGCAGTTACAACTGCAACAAGATCTGATCTTACATTAGTGCTAGCGATTTACACTGTTTCAGATCACCCCTCAAACAAGGCTGAGCTTCCTCAGTTTAAGAAGCTCCTATAACGAGAAATTTCACAGGTCCCATTTCCATCGTGCTTGAAATCCCATTGAAAACAAAGTCGTGTTAGCATCTTAGCAGAGCTGTAGATTTCCCAGGATCACTGTCAGTGTCAGATAAAGAATATAGGTGGAATGGCATGATTCAGAATGCCAAAAAAATATTAAGAAAAAGATTCTAAAATACTGAATTTGGATCATGGAAATTTACACAAAACTAATGAAGTAGGAGTAATTCAGCAGAATCAAAACAATAAAAGTAATAAAAACTGAGGAAATTTCCCTAGACACTCTGCAGTATTCACTGTTTCATGTTGAAAATGGGAAATCGAGCCCAGAAATATATTGAAACTGTAATGCATTAATGACTTGCACAAACAAAGCACAAAAAAAGTGGAAAAGACCAGAGACAGACAATACTTAGTACACAAATAGTCTACTGTGCAGGACTAGAAGACATCAAAGATGAGCCCCTTTTCTCTAGTGAGTGTAGCACGGAAAACTAAGAAATGGCAGTGCTAGTTGTTGACGGGGGTGTGTACTTTTCCTGGAGAAAAGTATCTCCAGAATATTTTCAAGACAACTGTGTGAATTACTAAAATGACAGTGTTCTCCACAGCTGAAAGCTCAGCAGTGATCAGTTACAAGTAATGCTGTCAGATTAACACTGTCCATGCAGTGTTAAATACAGAGTTAAATACAGGGACACCTTCTGTGGTCACGGAAGTACATTTGAGCTAATTTTCAATTTTTTCACAATCAAGTACATTTTGCAGTTATTAAGGAAAGCTATTCTAAATTATTGGTCTTTTTACGCTCCCCAGATATTACGCTCATCTACACCAGTACTACTGTGAATGGAAATAGTGGGTAAATTGTAAATACTTCAGCTGAAAGTCTAAATCCAAACTTTTCTGGAAAAAAAACCCAAACAAGAACAAACAAACAAAAAAACCCAAACCCAAATTAGAGGCAGCTCTTAAAAATCTGCTCCATGAGCTGTAATTATACTTTGAAAAATGTCTCCATGGGACAATGCAGTTCTGTGCTGACGCTCCACGTCAGCTCAGGTTCCTTCAGTTCACAGACAGAAAGATCCATCACCCACTGAGAACTGAACAAAATCAACCTGAAATCTAAGGGTCAGGCTAAGGTCCTTCTGCTCACATGTTATCGCATCACTTCTCCGTTGTTCTTTCCAGTAATGCAGTCAGTCATGAGATACTCATAGTTTAACATAAAATCAGAAGGAATTTTAAAGTGAATCAGCCTTAAAATCATTTTGATTGTGGTTAATCTTTGAGATGGCAGTGTAGAATTTGCAGCTTTATAAAGAAATATGAAGTCTTTAATGAGGGCTAAGAGACTCTGTGTATGCTTGAAGGTGTTCTGCCATCTTAAAAAAATAAAAGAATACATTTGTTTTCTATATTTGGTTGAACTGCATTTATAATAGATATCACTATGCTTACCAAACAGACTAGAACCAAAGAAGATTAAAAACTATGCGCATCATTGTTTCTCAACAGCCACTACTGCGACTAATTGATGTTGTCCGTGCCAATGCTACTGTGTTCTGAAGGAGACCTGTGTGAGCACAGTGTAAGAAGTATTGCCTTTGGCAGTAGCTTTTTGCACTCATTTCTGCCCTACCACAGCCCACACTTTTGCCAACACTTGAGCTCAGCATCTCATCCAGCCAACTGTGAAGTCCCCAAGCTCTTGGGGAAGCACAGCTCACATAGCTATGGGGGTAAGAAGGGCTGCGGGTGAAGCCTGCTTAAGCTTCATAGAGATGCCAGAAGAAATCCTCACCAAACCATGGCCTCAATTGAGACAAGCCTGAGGAATCCAAGCTCCTAGTAGGTGGTCTGCTGACCTAACAACGCACTGAAAGCCAAAAACTGTTTTCTGGACAGATCTCACTTGAGAACTACGCTTTTTCTTTTTTTTTTTTTTCCCCCTCATCCTGGTATGCCTGGAACAGATCCCCGTTTTTTCAAATACAATTTCTATTCCATGTTCCTGGGCAACTTTATTATCCTATTATTCACTGTTCTGCTAGTCACTGGAGGAGTGTGATCCTAAGAACTGGATTCCTGACATGAACCACTTTGGAAAATGAATTTTAAAATGTATTTTCTCTGAAAAACTGTTTCAATTAAATGGCAATGATAGCCACAGGATGAATTTGCTTCCCCCCAAAATGATAGAGTTATTGCAACTTAAATACTCACCACTGAAGAGTATTTATTCAAATTTAGAAGCATTTTGAAAGATGATGCATATTAAATATCCCTACTGAAAAGAAACCATTTAGGTAAGTAATAAAATCCACTGGGGCAAAAAAAAGATGTCTACCAAGTAGCCTACTAAAACAAATTTAAGAGAAAAGTAATGTTATTAGCCAGCTCATAAACCGTGACTGCTATAGAAACACGTGCAAGCTAAATATCTTCAAAGAACACCAGGCAACTGTTGATATGTACAGTTTTCTCCAATTAATCTGTTCTTTGATACAGGGAAAATATGTGAATGTTGGGGATCTCCTGCATCATGGGTATTTCGAGACAACTTAGTCCTCAGAATGCTGAACAGCTAAGGTCTTCAGCAGGTGGAATACACTAACCTCACTTATGGACCAGCTTGTGTGCTCCCTGAGCAATTTCAGTGGCTGGACTGGATCCAAGCCTCACCTCCTTCCGTCTCCCTTTTTGAGGTCTCAAAAAGCATGAGAGGGAAGAGGCATTTTCCTCTGACATTTTATTTTGACTAGTTAAACAAAGAAACATGTAAGTATGGGAAGCAGTTACATATCTACTAAAGAACTAGTATGTATTTTGTTATCTTTCATTTACCATTTTTGTGATACAGCTTTTCTACTTAAAGCCAGCAAGTCAGACAGAAAACAGGCAAAAATCAGTATTCCCTATTTTTTCCTTGGGAAGTGATCTTTCTGCTGTCCAGATAACCTATATGCATAACGGCCATCAGTGAAAATTTTGGTGAAAAGATGGAGTTTTCCAAATACTTTAAGAGTAATTCAAATTTCAAAACATGAACTGCAGGGCGGGAAAAGCAAAAGAAATAGAAAAAATAAACATTCTGTTTTCCACAGTATGGAAAGCCTTACTTTCTCTATGTACCCTTTTGCTACCTCATGAGATATGTATGCTAACATCGCTCCAAAAACCCAACCTCCCACAGAAAAAAAAAATATCATTATTTGTTAAACTAAGCCGCTGAAACACTTACAGGATCTGGAATTATCTTGGTCAAGCTACCTACAAAAATCACCGGGCTTCAAGTAAAACAGTAACAGAGGCTTAAATTCTTTTTTATACATAAAAAGTTTTAAATATTTTCTGTACATACATAGAAAAATATAATTCTCATTGTCTCACTATGATGTGTGCATGTGCAACTACACGGGTATATAGATTTACAATATCAGCTTGTACAAACATCTATATCAATATTTCAGTCTTTGGTTCCAGGATAAAACAGTTTTCTAAAAAAGGATTTGGGGGAATAAAGTTTACATTTTCTGTATTTCTTGATGACAGCAATTACTTTTTAGTGCATGAACAGTTGCTACTTACATTAACTTCTGTTATAGCAATATCAACGACGCTACCAACAACAATTAAGGCATCAAAAGTGTTCCATGCATCAGTGAAATAGTGCTGTTACGACAAGCATTCAGCAGAAAGAGAGCAAGAGAAAAACACAAACAGAAAGAGAGAAGAAAAGGACAGCGTTATAACACAGAAACACTCTAGGCTTCTCTGATGTACCACTATACAATCTAATCTTTCCCTTTCATAGCTAAAAAAAATTGGTAGCAAAAAAGGCTATTTATTTCCCATATCAACATAATTGACCTATGACTGGTCTGAACTCAAACTTTAGAAACATCAGATCAAAATCTGTGACTTGTCCAGATGATGGAAATAGTGGGGAGACAGAGAAAGAGAAGTAGGGACTGGGGAAAGTAAGCTGGGGTATACTCACATCAGCTTCACTGAGAACGACGTCTACTATGCTGCCAATAACGATGAGGGAGTCAAACGTATTCCAGGCATCACTAAAATAGCCCTGAACAGAGCAGGCAGGGTGCAAACGTTTGTGATTACACATGAAATGTCAAATATTTGCATACTTCTGTTTAGTTTTGCATAAACAGAAATTAGTTAAACAAAACCTGTGGTCTAATGAGAAAACAAAACAAAACAAACAATATTGCCTACTGAAGGAAAAGCAACATATAAGTGCATGTGTGTGTATATATATATACATTATATATATACATGTACAGACACACACACACAGACACACGCACGCGCACACACACGCTGTACACATGCATAATACACCACCGTATAAGCACAACGTTGGCAAGCAAGCCGTTATCCAAAATCGGTTTTGGACTTCTAGCGAGGCTGAGAAATTCTAACACATATACCCTAACGAGCATGACAAAATCCCTTTAATAATATTTCTACAAGACCAAGCCAATTGAAACCTCCTTAACATTAATGACTTTATGATAGTACTACCTAAGTGACTGGCAAAAATATTCAAAGGGTCAAAGCTCATCACTGGTGAATCATGCACAATTACTAATGTCAAACTGTGCATAAATATTAGAGAACCGACAATCTTCTATTCATAAACTAGCTTTAATAGAGGAAGTCACACTACATTTCCAGTCAGGACCTGATTCTGCAAACAGTGAAGTGAGTGCTAGGGAACACAGCAACTTGAACAATTTCTTAGTGCTTTTAATGCAGCCGGTCCAATGCCTGAAAATTTATTTTCGTAAATTGCTTAGTCACCCTTCTGACATTTTATGGCTTTAAATATATTCCCTATGTATATGTTAATGGCACACTGCTGCAAATGGTTATAAAGTGCTAACATACAATCAGCTGCCTACTGGCACCAAAACTGCGTGTTTGAGCAAAAAGATATTTCAGAAGAAACTTTGAGATAGGTTCCAGGATCAGTCTGTCACTGGGAACAAATCAAGGTGTATTACGATGTTGAAGGCAACTCTACAGAGACAAGATACATAGGTTTTCTGCAATATGTGGATTTTTCCTAGTTATTACAGAAATTCAGAATTGCAAAAACTACTGAATTTGCCCTTTTCTCAGATATATTAATTTATCAGCCAACCATGACTAAGGAATGTACATTACATGACAAAGGCTGAAATGTACATTTTGTACACGTACGTTCTGCTTTCCTGGTAATTAATTTAAAAATACTAACTTGTCAACCACTATTGAAGCTCTAAAAAATAAATTTAGCAAAAAGTTTAAAATTATGAGCGTGCTAAGCTAACCTTATGTCTAATTACAGTTATTATTACAGTCTACTATAAGAAAATGTTTTAGCTGAGTAGTTTAAGTTGTTACATGTGTTGTTACACAGAAAAACAAAATCAGCTACAAAATTTTTTAGAGTTGCACAATTTTTTTCTCAAGGTTTTAATCTGCTAGAATTTCTAGAAACTTCACAGTTTAAAGGTTACACTCAAGTGCATTACTATTTGAAAAAAGCTGATTTCATGTGGAAATTTGCTTTTGGAGACTGTGAGAGCTGCTACGGAAGAAGACAGCTCTACAGCATATTCTAGGAGAGTAAGCACTGAGCAGAGTCAGGAAAGCCTCATTATGTTTCTAATGCTACTCTCTTTTAAAACACAAATTACTATAATCATTCCTTCATTTAAGGAAGGGGCTGTAAGAGGAAACTAGATCAGAGCATGATTGTCACTACAGCCCTTTGTGCCACGTGCTTTGGTTCTTTGGGATTAATCATCATTTGTCTTGGGGCAAAAGCCAATGTTCATGGATTTGGGCTCCTGAACAAACACGTCCATTTTGAGACCTTCTGCACAATTCTCTATCACTTCTTCCTTATTCATCCTGCTTCACAAGAACAAGCCATTCCCAAAGTTTCTACTAAACACCATGCTGAGCCACCTCAGTGACAATGGAATTTATAATCCTAAAGAGTTGGCAGCTGCCAACTATAGAAGGGGAGCTACTCTCGTAATATTCTTCCCGATCATTCATAGTCCTTATTTCTCTTATTTAAAAGAAGTATCTTTCTTGATTTTAAAATAGCGATATTTATATATATATATACATAAAATAAGGGACTATTGGCAAACAGCAAACAGATAATCAGCACAATCCCGAGGTGTGCTATCCATCTTCCTCTATAACAAAGGGAACCAAAAAAGATCCTCCAAATAAAGGTTAATTTCAGCTATAGAAAAAGTGACTTTACCAGACACGCTACAATATAAGGCACTGAAATAACAAATTCACATTTTGATTCAATACAGCTAAGATACTTTACACATTTATTTTATGAAACCTTTTCCATCAGTATAGACAAATATTGTTCAAAGTAATATGTAAAGCAAAAGCATACAAATAAACAAAAAAACTAAGAGAAAATAAAGATGGTTTTGGAAAAGGGAGGAATGGACAAGTCACAGCAAATAAACATCATGCAAATAAGTTGTTTTCACCACTGCAATGACCCAAGATCGATTCACTTACTAGCCATCTTTCCTTTTTTCTTACAAAAATCTGATGTAAAACGACATGGAAAATCATTACAAGTTTAAATAACAGCTAGCTATGAAGCTGTACATACGGTATGTGTTGATGTATTATTTTAGATTTCATAATGTATTTTGTTTTCTACTGTACTAAACCATGCTAAGTAACAGATTTTAGCAAATGTGAAGAACAATGTGAAGAAAAAAGGCCTGCTCTTTTAACTTACAGTACAAAAAATTTGTTCATTGAGAAATGCTGAAGGATAAAATCACAAATCCTGGGGAATATGTAGGCATAGAAAATTAACACCAAAATATGTTTCTATAGATCTACCACATCAATATTTTAGTCCTTTTAGTACTCTGTTGAAAAGTTTAGGGCCTCATTCTCCAAAGTACTGTGTGCTCCAATCTCCCAGTCAAGAAGTGTGCCGGACATTCAGCATCACCTTTAATATCTATCACTCATCCAGATTTTATTTATTTCAGAGCTGGAAGGCAGTCTGCAGTACCTTGGCTTTAAACAACACAACATCATAGTAAAAGTATTAATAATTTATAGCAGCCTTAAGTTTGCGTGACCAGCAAGACCAGAAGATCACAGTTCTCACATGATTTTTATCGACATATTAAGGGGACACTGTCAAGCAGATGAGATAAAAACTAACGTGTTTATCTTTTCTAATTTTTACAGAGTAAGTAATGGAGTTTTTATTTGATGCTTTGAGCATCTTTCAAATAATTTTTTAAAGGCACAAAATTAATAAATAAAACTGTCGATTCTGCCAGACTAGACTAAGAAACCCACCAGGGACACAAACATAGAGGAAATGAATCAGTCTTTCCTCACGAACCCTAAAGCAAAACATTACGTTGGGGCTTCAGATTGTTAGATCTGAAACTATTATTAAATCTTAATATCAGCTAAAGCAATTCATCATTGTTTTAAGCATGTATCTAGTTTAAAATTTAGATTACTAAAAGATACTCACATTCTGCTTAAGACTGCTGTCTGATTTGCAATTATTAATGAACTATGTAATATACGTTGCCAATAGGTGTTTTGTTAAAGAGTATCTGACAATTAAAAAAGTTACAATGGTCAAAGAGTAACAGGAACAACCTTAAAGATATTTAACTCCCTTCCCTTGCTGCTAGTCAATCTCTGCCAAAACTCTGATAAATATTATGGCTTTTTAACCTTGTACTGCTAATTAACAAGTTTAAGATGTTCTGCATCTATGGGGGAACAAAATTCAGGAAACGAGGACCTTTCACTGACAGTGTCTGCCCTTCAGACTCTCAGGGTTCAGAACCAGGGATCTCTCACAGTAAAAGCATCCAATCAGATAGAAAGCATGTTGCAACAGAGTTAAAACTCAAATTGTACAAAGTCTTAGAGACCGGTATTAAGACATTGCATTTGATAACAAGTAGGAAGTCTGTAATACAAATGGAGCACTGTGATTTATACACTCATGATCAAAAAAGTCACAAGTGCATGGAGAACCATACAAGGATTCACAATCTTCTTTCAAAGAGCAGATGATAAAATACAGCAAAGTCTTCTGAAACTTCAGTGTGAAACACGGATATAGAACAAGCAATACAAATCAGGAAACACAATCAGCATACTCATGACACTGTGGTCCACATATCTGACCTATCTCCTCTGGGGCCTCATATTGTGTTATTTTGAATGTGAAATCCTTAGCAATTAAATAAGATAGGTGACACAAAAATACAAATAAATTCATTAGAAATGTACAATGGACTGGACAGTGCAGAGCAAGACTACGGGACTGGGTAAGCATTCACCCAGAACTCCACACTTCACATTTCAACACCAGACCTCAAGTGATGTATAATTTGTTTACTTCTGCAGACAAATACAAGCTAGCTTTAAATCAGGTAGCTCAGGCTCCACAGCCAAGCTTGTAACTAAATGCAAGCTGAATGTATAGTTCTGAAAAATATTTATACATCCACTCCATGCTGAGCTCCGGGCAGCCTTGACTATGTTGCTCTAAGTATCAGAGCTAGCCCAATTACACGTGTAGATATCCTGATTACTTTAAAAGAAGGGCAATGGAAAATGAGAAATACCAGCCGTAAGATGGTGAGATCAGTAGACTTCAAATGGCATGACTGGCTTTTTTCAAATTCCATACATAATGAGTGACCACGCTTTACTTACTTACATACATATAAGCCCAGAATAAATATGGATTTCATTGTGCTGAAAACAAAGTTTAGTTTAGTTTTTCATTGTTAGCTTTTGCACTGTCATAAATGGAGTATGAGAACTGAACAAAAAGACTGCATTAACTGTCACAGTCTGATTTTCATCTTTTTTTTTTTTTTTCAATTAGCAATTACAGTTATCAGTTTCTCTTGCCAATCTACTTTTGAAAATGTGTCTGTTATTCATTTTGACAGTGTCCCTTTAAGGCAAGGAATCAGCTGCTCACTGTGGGGCTCTCTACCAAATAGTGTGTATGTATAATTGAAACATAAAAATCTAAAAAGGCTACTGAATATGCAAATTATTTATGCGTACATTTGTAGTTGTTGGCTATATTTTATTAAGTAAAGAAATAATTTTGCATTTTAGAACAGGAAATATAACGTAACATACAGGTCTTTACTGGAGAGTAACTTAGTGTAAAGTTACGAATGTCATACCATGAATAGAAGAAGTGGTAATGCTTGTAACAAGAAATTATTTATCTGATTTCCAAAGGGACATTTTCATTACCCCAAAATATTCCAGATCTCATCAACTACCTTGTCATATTTTTTCTGATATCTGCATTTCATTTCCTGGAGTTACATATATACACATTACCAGATTAACATTTCTGTTATGATTTCACTGATAAATGTGGGAAACGTGGGTTCTTTTTGTTCTTTGAAAAATACATAGCTAATATGAAACTTACGTTATACTTAATTCCTGTGGTGATGACCTAATTAAATCATATCTAAAACTTACCTTGGGTTTGAATGCAATCAGTTTCAAAACCATTTCAACAGTGAACACTCCCGTGAAAACCATATTCATAATGTCCATTGCATCATTAAAGAGCTTAGACTGTCCATAGTGCTGTGAATGAAAAATACGGTACTTTTAAGAAGTAAAGGCTTTAAAATAGTAAGTGAAAGTAAGGCAGCCTAAGACAAAGTTGGCAAAAATGCAGCACAAGAAAATATTTTCTAGTAGTATTTATGATGCACACCTATATTCATACAAGACTAGTTGAGTATCTCTGGTCAGGAATGGAGTTGTTTAAATCTATTCTGTTCAGGCACTAAGTGGAACAAAACTGTGATTCCTCTACATCCTAAGGGAATCTTGAGAGGGATAGTTTTGAGAAGAAAACTGTTCCCTTAAGAAAGGAGTATTAGACAACAGCATTTTCCCAAGTTTTCTATGCTAGGTTTGAAATTACATAACCTTGTGTCACACCCGCTTAGAATGCCTGTGGTATGTTAGTCACAGAATAACATATATTGTGTAGGAGTGATATTTTTCAGAGGATACAGTGCATGCAAGTTTACTGAAAAAAGTAGAATGGTTTTGTAAACTGCATTTGAACCATTCTTTTTCTTATCAAAATCTGAAGTAGGGAAAAGAAAGAGACAACTTGGAAAAGTAGATAGAGAAGTAGCTGGTGAAGAACTGCATACATAATATAGGAAAATTAGAAAAATAAAACTACATATACACATCAAAAAAAAAACCTCATGCAAAATTACACACAGGTACATATATATATACAACTAATATATGAAAAAATGTTTGTTTAAGGTTTCCATTATCACACAAACCTAGAGTTGCTCCATATATTAAGTTTTTAAACTTCTGAAGAGATAGACACAGAGGATATAAATATCACAGAATGGTTTGGGTTTAAAGGGACCTTTAAAGGTCATCCAGTCCAATCCAACCAAACATGGAGTAGTACATGTACAGAATGAAGACAGAACAAGTACAGATACTACAGAGGTGAAGTAATGTTTAAAGACACTGCATAAAAGTATATATTAGATAAAAGAATCTAAGGGGTTGAGAGAAATGTTTGCTAAAATAATTAAGACTTCTACATTCTTTTCAGATTTTCTCGCACGTGGATTATCTTGGGAACACAAACATATAACATTAAATTACACTGCAGGTACAAACTAAAGCTCAAAGAGCTTGATCAGGTTAGGAAGAACTTTATCAACACCAAGCTCTTTTAAACGGTCTTATTTCAGAGAACTGATGAACAGATGAGAACACGTCAGAGAAGAGTACTAAGATCAGAGGTGGTTTTTTTTAAATTTCACTTCATAAAGAAATACAGGTTGCCATAATTGAAAGGCATTTTATCACCTATTCTTTGCCTGCAATTTATGCCAACAGCTTCAAAAGAGCTTCTGGTTTTCCTACCTGCATAGCCAAGCAAAGTGTGTTCAGCATGATGAGGACAAACATGATGTATTCAAATCCAGTAGAATTCACCACATACCAGAACTTGTACTGGTAAGGATTTTTTGGAATATATCTACGAAGAGGACGTGCCTTCAAGGCATATTCTACACACTGACGCTGTAAAAGCAAATACATCAAAAATTGTCAGAGTATACCTAACAGTTAATCAACTGATAATACAATTAATAAGTACAAATTGTTAAATATAAGTCTTAAAAACAGGCAGTCTATCTACTTGATATTTTTATTATTAAGTGTTCATAAAGTAATCAGGTAGCTTACCCATCCTCTCACTTGGTTATTTACAACTGTACCGAATCATACACACTACTTAGCCACATACAAAGAATCAAATAATGCTCATGGAAATTCAGAAGTGTTTCACCTTTATACCTTTTATATGTAGTAGTATAGAGTAGTATATCGCAGACTATATGTATGTGCATATACAATGTATAGCATAACTATTAATTCTATAAGTCATGCTTTGTCTTTACTAAGTTGTCAACCACCAATGTAACTGCATAGCATAAAACCCTCGAGTCAGCAAAATAAATACTGAGGAAGAGTTATTCCTAAAAGTTCAGTTAAATTGCCCAGCAAAATGACATCACGTATGTAGGAACATCATGGATTTATCTCCTACTTTATTAGTGCCCGAATAGAACATTTTAACACTTTCAGATTATTCAGTACACAAAATCTATTTTCCTATTCTTATTATAAAACCTACCTCTGCCTATGGATAAGCTGGCAAGTGCTGTTTTCTTCTTAATGTGACACCAGCAAGTGAGACACTAAGAAGCTAACAAGCTTAATGTAACAGCTTTCACAAGACTGACATCTTGGGCTTACAGACAGAGGAACATACAATGACTTCAATATAAGTTGATAGTATGTACTGATTCCACTTTTTTACTAAGATATGTGTTTGGTGCCCTCTTCTGACCCAAAGCAGAAAGGAAGCTCTCCATGCACAAGTAAAAAGAATACTTCCAAAAACTAAGAGATCATTATTTATTTTAACCTGATTTTTGTCCAGCTCGCAGTTCTTATACTCTTGTTCTCCCTGTTCTTGGAATGTAACAATCACAAAACCAACAAATATGTTCATCATAAAGAAAGCAATAATGATGATATAGATGATGAAAAAAATTGAGATCTCCACTCTGTAGTTGTATACAGGTCCTACATTCTCGCCATTTGAATCAATGGCTTTGTATAGCAGCCTGAAAAACAAACAAAATATCTTCATTAGCATTAAAATGACAAAAGAGAGCAGAATATGCAGACTCAGAGGACAGATTTCAAAAGTGGTCTGCTGTTTACTGTTATATTTTTCCAGTTACTGACAGTGCTTACAAGAATATTGAAACCAGAGAATCACACCACACATTGTTATATGCCTTTTTTCAAAAGAATCAAGGAAATGACCAGATGGTTATATTTTAACACACCACACACACCCCCCCAAGCTATCCTCTAAGACTTTTCTCATTTAGGTAAATACTGAGTGGTACCAGTTTGCCCTTCCAGTTCACTCATTCCTCTATGCAGTGTGCTATCGCCTGATTTTGTAGTAGAATTTTAATTCAAAGGGTTAAAATTTTTGTATGAGTATTAAAGGGCATTGATGGATAAATATCTAAAAGGATTACTTCCATTAGAGCTAAAGAATAGCTCATTATAGCAAAAGTAGCTGAAAGATTAGGAATCAAACAATATAAAAGAAGTTTGCCCTTTATAGATAGAGGTGAATGAAGAAATACAGGAAAAGTGCACAGATTCAGAAGGATAGTAGGGTTTGTTCCTTCCTCCATTAATAAGTTTTTGTACCATCACCTAAAACTGCTTTGTTGACCAAAAATGCCCAGTAAATGATAAAGAACTGTTCTGGATTATGTCTTAACAATGCTATGAAAACATGGAGAGTTCACTCACGCTGGCCAGCCTTCAAAAGTGGATACTGTAAAAAGGGCCATCATAGCAGACAGAACATTATCAAAGTTGAAATCACTGTTTTGCCAAACCCTCTCTTTGACCATTGGATTATCAACATCTCCATCTTTATAAACGATGTATATCCCTCTGCGGGAAAGAAACAAACCAACATTAGTGAAATATGAGAGTTACTCAATGCTCTATTCAGAATAGTTTATTTTACTCTGTCCTTCAGCTTGTTTTATGTCCCTGCTAACCTGTGTTTTCTGGTGGATTTAAAATCACAATTCCAATTTATACAAACCTAAAATGGCCTGACACATGCCTGCCCATATCTGCTACAGTTTAAATTATTCAAAATATGATGTGACATTCTTAGATCAAAGATGTTCTCACCGGCA